GTTTTGTTTGGGTGTTTTGGTTTTATTTTGTAAATGGGCCTGATTTTTCTTTTCTCAGGGCTTGTAATATATGTATTGGGTGGTTTGTTAAATAACAACAACAACAACAACAACAAAAATAATAATAATATAGTAGTAGATTTGAAAAATGGTGATTACATTTATGAACTCTTATTTCTAAATATGGGTATATATTGATTTTTTGACAATGCATGTTATTGAAATTTCAAGATTTTTGTTGATTTGAATTAGTATGGTCTCCGAGATTCGATCATAACGTCCAGGTCAAGTTTAGGAGTTACAACTTAAACAAGGACAACTTATCACGTTTTGTAACCAAGTTATACTTCTTCCCGTCACCAAACTCGTAGTCATCGACAAGTAGAAAATGACATCTTCACTTTTACCAATCCGGAGGGAAGACAAAAAAGAAGCTTCCCTCGGAAAACCCTCTTGATATAATAGTAACAAAAATGCTAAAAAGAAAGTTTGGACGATTTGGAATATGAGAACCGTAAAAGACCACAATCCATAACCTATAAGGCTGTCTGAAACCTGGAGAACCAAGTGGGCACAGTTGAGGAACATTGCAACACCTAATGCAAATACATGAGCAGTAAAAGGCTCAACAATCTTAGTATTTTGCATCGGTTGTAACTGAGGTAAAACTGAGATCACTTCTAAATACACACAGAATGTTTAGAAAATCTGATTCATAAGATTATAAGAAGTTGATAAATGAATACACAGAGCTAGTACTTTGAGTTTTATTACTATAAAATACAATAAATTAATATCGTAGAAAAATGAAAGATTTAAGTATAATTTGTAAAAATTAAAAAAAAAAAGATGTTAAGGTACCAAAATAAAGAAATAATAAATAATGCATAACATAAATAAAAGATTAAATAAAAACTGATGTTCAACATTAAAGGCAATAATGGAATAAACAAATATTTAAAATCATGAATATAGGTTGTGAACTAAAAGATATGAAAAATAAATATAAAGAAAATATAAACACCAAAATTACCTGAAATAATAAACAGCAAACATATAAATTAAGAAAATAATAAAAATATAATATATATATATATATATATATGAGAAAAAATATGAATAGTAAATAATAATAACAAGGTTCTCATGAAATTAAATAGGTATATAATATAATACAATACAATACAATACAATACAATATAATATAATATAATATAATATAATATATAATATAATATAATGTAATAAGTAATGTAATGTAATGTAATGTAATGTAATGTAATGTAATGTAATGTAATGTAATGTAATGTAATGTAATGTAATGTAATGTAATGTAATGTAATGTAATGTAATGTAATGTAATGTAAGTATATAATGTAATGTAATAATATAATAATATAATATAATATAATATATATAATATAATATAATATAATATAATATATATAATATAATAATATAATATAATATAATATAATATAATATAATATAATATAATATAATAAATATAATAATGTAAGTAATGTAATGTAATGTAATGTAATGTAATGTAATGTAATGTAATGTAATGTAATGTAATGTAATGTAATGTAATGTAATGTAATATAATATAATATAATATAATATAATATAATATAATATAATATAATGTAATGTAATGTAATGTAATGTAATGTAATGTAATGTAATGTAATGTAATGTAATGTAATGTAATAAATAATATATAATATAATATAATATAATATAATAATAAATATAATATAATATAATATAATATAAACAACATTAATCAATATATATATATATATATATATACATATATATATTATATATATATGTGTGTGTGTTTGTAATGTTAAAAAGAAGAGATAAAATGATTCATTTCTTTTTCGTCTTTGCTGATCGACGGCGACACCAACTTTAATGTTGGTTGTCGACCGTCGGTATTCTTTATTTTCTATTTCTTTTTTATATCGCATCTTTATTTTTTTTTCAATAAATCTGTCTGTGTTGCACGTTTTCATATATCTTTTGTGACAAGTTTTCTTATGCTTTTTGACATGTTTTTTCGATTCTTTGGTCATTTTTATTTATCTTTTTTTCTAAGGTTCTATTTGACATCGTCAGTACTAATCAAGATGACACTTATCTAATATATTGTTATCTTCCATGCTTTGGAACCTCATATTGGATTTGGATACCCAATTTGCGTTCGTAGATAGCTTTTCACATCGCTCGAGTCTAAATTACGGTTTGTCGGTGGTCTTTCAATAGCTTGATCCCTTTTGTGGTTCGTTTACTAATGCGATCACATCTATTTGTATATATCTTTTTTGAGTTTCTTGGTTAGATTTAATCTTTCATTGTATGGTCCTTATGTGATCTTAAATTACTAGTTTTGTTTCAATGATTATAGGAAAATTTCCTAATTATGTGCTTAATTTACGATTGTGGTTGTAAATTTTTATTGTAATTTGAGATATCTCTTATTTTGAATAAAATTAGTTGCTTTTATATATAAAAAAGAGAGATAAGAATGATAAGAATAATCAATATTAATCCATACAAAATTAAGAGTAAAACAAAATTAACTTACAAGATTCGATGTAGCAATTAAGAGCCTACTTATATGCTCCAAAAAATCTAGCATATTTTCATTAATGTTAGATACACTAATTAAAAGAAATAAATATTAAAATAATAAAAAGATCTTAATTTTACCTAAATAAATAATGAAAAATATAAAGTTAAATTTAATTATAAATAATCAATAAGATAATTAAAAGTTTGTAATAAATTAAAATTCTCGCATTCAATTTTCTGCACGTGGCGCCCTAGTTAAAATAAGCATATCTTGAGTTCCTGATGTCTAATTGAGATGTTTCAAAATGCGTTGGAAAGCTATTGAAAGTCGTTTCTATATCAAGAAGACATCATGCCTTGAAAACGTTCGGATCCCACTTTTAAATTTGTTGAAAGACGAATAATGTCTCATACTTTGAAATCAACTTCAATAAAAATGTTTGACCCTTGGAAAAAGGTAGTTCGAATGAAAATCTGCTATTACAACTAACAAGTCTCAATGTTTATTGTCGATGCATGAAGTGCAAGCTCATTGTACAAAACAAACTTCCAAAAATTAATCGAAGACTCACATGGAGTGTAAATACTTACACCTCTCAATGACATTAAATAAACTAATGCAAGGACAAGAAATTCAACTCTCGTTGAATCTAATGTGACTCTAGACAACAAAAGCTTATCAATCCAAATTGTCAGTACACTTCTTAGTGACTGCGACCGCAATAGACACTCCCATGCTTAAAACATTCAAATATAAAGATTAAACACAGAAATCTATATTTATAAAATAGCATTTACCATAGTTTATAAAGTACTATCATCCTTAAAAAACATAAAATATAATCAATAGCGTTTAGTACAAAAACATAATCAAAAGGGAGTGGGGAAGTTATCCCTGACTATGCTCGACTCACCTTTGACGATGCTCTTTGCTCACATGCTGCAGTGTTGCTGCTCTTGCAGTCAGCACCTCTTCCGTTCACCTCCAAATACCCAAGGGGTTTAAGCTGCCATGGCCATGACTTGAAAGGGTTTTGCTAAAGAAAATGATGAATTTCGTGAATGTGAGAGAGTAAATATATTATCCCTTGTACTTTAATATTCTTCCGCCAAGTGTCCTTTTACACAATCAACGTGAATGGTCGTATAAGTATATGCCCATCTAGCCATCTCAGCCCTTTGGAATCTTTCTAGAAGTTTGTTTTTAGCTGGTTAACTGTGGTGACATTTTTGGATGCATCTTCCAAAATTTTTGCAGTGACTTTTCCCAAGTATAATTCCAAAACTAAAGCAACGACATCAAGCACATGCTATAAAACCATTTATCATGCAACATGTCCATTGAGTTGATTTAACTATGCAAAATGATGTTATGCAGATGTAGTGATAATAAAACTAAAAATGTAATGTAGGTACATGCAATACAATGACAATAATGCTGGAATGCACATAAAATTAGACAAATTACTCCTTAAGTGAGGTAAAACACATGCTTTTTGAGAACACTATCAAGTAGCTCACTCTTGAGCTCATCCATCTCCTTCCTTAAAGCCACCACCAAGGCTTTGACAACTTTACCCATACGATATATATTGTACGTAGATTGCTTTTAAGATGCTTTAAGCTTCACTCTTTAGCTTTTCTACTTTGGAGTCCAACTTCTTCCTTAAAGTCATCATTCTAATTTCGAGATCATCACTCCTTTGGATTATCTTTAACTAGTAAAGAACGCGTGTTTCTCATCCTTGAACTTGTCCTCCATGAACTTTAACTTGTCAAGGTGTGACTCCATAACTCTTTGGGTCTCTATGGTGTCATTCTCAAATTCTTTAAACCTTATAACCCTCTTCTTTAACAATAATGAGATGTCCATTAGATCCTTCACCGAGGATTTGACAATATAACTCATATTCAACTAAATCATTGAGAAGAGTATCTCTCGATATTATCATCTTATGTTTTACTCCATGGGTTACCATGTCATCTAATGTGGAAACGTTACCTCTTTATTGTGTTATCTCAATCAACGTTTTGCCTTAAACTAGCTTGGTTACCATGAAGGTTAGTTTGAATGCATACACTCACCAAGCTTGAGTGCAATAGCAGGTTGGCTCAATCACTGGTCCCTATGATTGGCTCTGATACCACTTGTCACGGGCTAAAATTTTGACTATCTAATTCATATGGCCTTAAAAGATGACATTCGAGTTGATCGCCTAAGTCATCTTGCAAAACAACCTTGTGAGAACTTAAGCTTACGAAAATAACGAATAAGCTATTTATGCCTAAGAAATATGTGAGAGCTTTAACACTAGTGGGGCTATGAAGAACAAATAAGAGAGGCAATAGAAAATAGATTAAGAACAATAAGACAAGATATGTTCATTGCTATACCATCATTTGCTCTCTTATACTCAATGGACGAGGTAGTACTAGATCCAGCCATTACTATCAAAGCTATTGGACATCAATGGTATCAGACTTATGAGTATTCAGACTATAACAGTTCCGATGAACAGTCACTCACTTTTGACAGTTATACGATTCCAGAAGATGATCTAGAATTGGGTCTATCATGTTTATTAGAAGTGGACAATAGAGTGGTTGTACTAGCCAAAACTCATCTACGTATTATTGTAACATCTGCTGTACTTCATAGTTGGGATGTACCTTCCTCAGGTGTCAAATGTGATGTTGTACCTGGTCATTTAAATCATATCTCTATTTCGGTACAACGAGAAGGAGTTTACTATGGTCAGTGCAGTGATAGAGTAAATGCCCATTATATTAACAAAAAGTGGAGAATGAATGTAATAAATACAAATGAGATGGGGAGTCTCTATTTATTGTCGAGTCTCCATACAATGTATGTCATAGATCGATTTATATCAATGACTAATATAAGCCCAAATCTCATAATCTAAGAAAAGATTGTCAAATTCTATCTACTCATATAAATTATTGTATTTCTTTTCTTGATTATGTGAGCACACTAATATGATAATATTCCTCTATAATCTTCCTTGATTTGGTGTCAATTGTCTTTCCCACAAAGTCAATGTGAATAGGCTCTTTACTATTCTCCAAGTGATGGAGTCACTTGGCTCTAAAATTTATATGATTAGATAGAATTTAATAATGAACTCTAAAATTTTAATATTCTTTTCTTAAAATTAATGGGTGTGCAATGTTTTTTAATTTTTTTAATTTTTCCTTAACTCATTATTAAATTTAATCATTTTTCCAAAATAATGGGATGCACTTTGCTCCCTAGGGAGCTTAGTGCATCCGTCCTTGATCCAAATCAAATTCTTTGTAAATTTGTCATAAGATAAACTTAAATAAATGAACTCTTAAAATTAATAATATTATTTTTTTTGAATTTAAACTTGTGTGTTTACACTCGATTTAAGCTTGAAGTTTACTTTTTTGGATGTTAAGTTTAAAAAATAGTCAGCAGTTAAAAACCTTAAAACCAAACCGAACAAAACAAAAAAATTAGTTTTATGTCATTCTATTTTGATTTCATTTTTAAAATAAAAACTATATGATATGGATTGATTAATCTTTTATCATAAAATTTAACTGAACTAAATACACCTCTAATCAGTAATCACTACTAGAGGATTCCCATTTGCTAGTTGATCCACTAACACATATGCTTGACTTACCTATTCTTGATAATGTTTCAACCCGATTTAGTTGAAAACGAGATTGACAATGTTACATTAACTGAAAAACATATCGATAACATATTAATCTTAATTTGATTACTAGATTTATTTCAATTATGACTTTATGGAACCACAATGTCAGCATCACATTATTATGAGGCTAAATATAAATAGCATAAATATATGGATCACTTGTTTGGATGTGCATGGGTTGGGTTGGGTTTTGTTTTCGATCAATTTGACCCAACTCAAAAATCTATATCATCTATATGAAACGTGATCGACCCGAGTTTAGAGGTGATTTTATCCGACCTAAACCTGATATGTTTTTTTGAGATAAAACTCGAATTCGATCCGATCTGAAATAAATATATAAAAAAAATATTATTTTTATTCAATAAAAATAATGAACTAATTGAAAAAATAATATATGGAAGAGTATTATTGTAATTATCCCTAAATATATAAGGTAGATTTACTTTTTTTTTTGGATAAGTCGGATTGTGTATTTTCTCCCCTAAATCTGAACTCTACCCGGCTCGACCCAAACATATTTTCTAAAAAATCTGACCTAATCCGATCAAAACTCGATTTTTTTTAAATCTAACTCATTAAAATCGGGTCAGGTCGAAACTTGTTAGGCTCAAGTCTCATACCCATCCCTAATCATTTGCATAATTAATACATTCTAGGCAGTTGATATCAATACTATTTATTGAATGTCGATATTGCATTAGAATAATATTGATACTAGAGAAACAATATTGATATTGTCATTAAAATAATTACTACCGATACTTCCAATTAGGTATCGATATTTACTATTATTTTTCATCTGAAGCAAGGTTTTAAATAGCGTTCGCGGTCACAGTTTCGGTCGCGTCGCATTTATCATGGTTACGGATATAACGGATGCCATTGCGGTCATTGCGGATATCGCGATCATGAATTTTTTTCGAAGGAGCTGATTTTTTAAATAAAAAACCTATTTTTTTAAAATTAAAATAATGGAATAATAGCGGAATAGAGGTCTGCTATTGCCTTGATTGATCGCTATCTATTAAAATGCGGCTGCGATCCGCCGCTATTAGTGTGATCCCGCTTCACACCGTTATTTTCTGCGATAGCAATTTCGGAAACCACCGCGACTACGATATAACGGCCGTGATGCCACTATTCGACCGCTATTTGAAACCCTGATATAAAGCTCATTTTAGTATCGGTAACTTTTTTTGCTATCTATATTGTATATGTATAGTATCGATACTCAATGATGGTACCAGTAACCATTTAAGGTTTAAGATCTTTGAACCCTTTAATGAGGTACCGATACTTAATATCTGATATCAATAATACATGTAAATATGACAAAACGGTAACTTTTGCCTCTAGTAGACACAATTTATCACTTTTGCTCCTATCGTATTTTCGCATCAATTTAGCCATCGAAGTTGTTCAATATTATCATTCTATAACCATACCCCTAACTTAAAACCCTAAATTATAAAGCCTAAACCCTAAATCATAACCCTATTACCTCTAAACACTAACTTAAGGTTTATAATTTAGGGTTTTAAGTTAGGGGAATGGTATAAAATGATGTAATTAAACAATTTTGAGGGCTAAATTGATGCGAAAATACAATAGGGGTGAAAATGATAAATTTAGTCTACTACAGGAAAAAAGTGACCTTGTAAAATATTGATAATATATCCAGTATTAATACTAATTTAACATTAAAAATTCCAAGTTTAACATGTAGTATTGATACTTCATGTTTTAATATCAATACCATATGCATCAAATGATCAAATTCTATTTTCAAACATGCTCAAGGAACCTTTAAACATAGCCTAACCTATATGCAACATATAAAGCATTTATGGCATATCAATAGTGCATCAAAACATCAATTTCAACATGAATTCAATCACAAGCATATGAAATCAAAATATACTTACAGTATGCACTCTATTTATCATTGATCATGTCATTTTTTCATATCTTAACATATTCATCTACCTTACTCACCATATGAGGAATTTGGGGAATTCACCATACCTGTATCACACATAAGTTTCATGCATTATAATATAGCACAATTATACTTATCATGAAACATACCAAACATGATTTATCACACGTTACAATCTAAAGTACTTATATATTTATATTGTAACATCTTAAGCCTAACCTTTACACATCGTTGAATTCAGTAGTACCACATTCGATCATCGAAGTTACCTTAAACTTTATTAACTCAGTATCAAAATGAGGATACTCAAAGCTGAAAGGGTGCCAATCTAATATGGAATTTCGCTAGTAAATTTATTTTGGCTAAGATCTAACGTCAATAGTGAAGAGCTGTTGTGAAACGCATGTGGCAGTGGACCATTTAGTAAATTTCTGCTAATGTGAAGATGATCTATGGCTAGTAAACTGATGCAAGATTATTGGAAAGAACTAATCCCTCCAAGCTTGATGCATTTCAGATCCATCCTAGAAGCTTACAAGACAAATAGTTGTTGCTTAGATCCATATAACAAAGAAAAGAAAATTTGATAGCTAAGATATCAATTTTAGGTGTCTCTCCTTGAAATTTGTTGCCATCCAAATATAACTGCTCCAGTGTAGTTAAACTAAATTTTGTAGGTGGTAGTTTCTCACTCAAATTATTACTTGAAAGCCTTCGATGAGTTACTTTTGGCTAACTATTTAATTATACCTCTAGAAAAATTATTATATGAAGACTTCAAACCACCTAAGCATGGAGGATTATTACCTTGAAAGGCATTCCGAGAAAAGGAAACCCCCCTAAATGTGAAAACATTACTACTGCAATTCTTTTTTTATCTTCTTCTTTCTTCTTTAATCTGTTCTACTTTCTATTAATATCTTCAAAAAAAATCCGAAAGGCACAAAGGCACTGTGCCCGGTGCCTAAAGCCCAGAGGCGCGCGCCTCTTGTATCTCGTCTTGCCTCATCCCAGGCGAGGGCCATCTTTAGTACCTGGCTGCGCCTCGCCTTTTAAAACCAAGTCGCGAATTCTTTCATTTTTAAACAGATTCTACTATAAAGTAACACTTTAATTAGAATTATTATCAACTTTTGCAAATCAATCATTGAGAAAATCGAGTATACTTTCTAAAATACATTTGTGAACTGTTTGCACCAAATTATCATAAGCTTGATTGTTATGAATTTTTTTTTCGTAGTATCTTCCATGGGTTTAGCTTTGATAATTTTCTCCTGCTATGATGGGATCATACTGTATTCATCTCTATCGTTTCCTTCAGTCAGCTGTTAAAGGTGGGTAGAAGCGTATGATAATTTTTATGGTTATCGTAATATTTCCTTATTTCGTTGTTGTTCCTATGTTGGCCCCGACTTTATTTTTCTTAAGACACGGCTATAAAGATTTGACTATGGCCCTTCAACTTTTTAATTTTATTTACTGGGAATATGGAATGTGTTATGTGAATATATTCGTGTGTCTTTTTTTGTGTGTCTTGAGCTGAGCTTTGCTTTTTCCTCAGTACGAGTATCATCTGTTTTAGGTACATGTAAAGGGCATAGTATTATGTGGCTGCATTTTCCCCTTTACTGTTTTGAACAAAACTATGTCAATCCCGTGGAGGGGAATCATTATATGTTCTACATTTGAGCTTGTTAACTGAGCTTTTGCACTTGGTCTGTAAAACCAGTTCTGTATTTTACTTTCGAGGTTTAAACCGAAACTTTTTTTTTCTTTTTATTTCCAAGTTTTGGGTGTAAAATGGGGCTTTGTAACATTACGAAGCGGTTCATTTTTGTTTTCTTTTGCAGGCCAGATTTTTATTGGCAAAGTTGAACCCATCAGCCACATACAATAATGTCACTGATATAGCACCTGGATCAGATATAATCTTTACAGAATATGTAAACTTACAAGTCTTCTTCGAGCATCTTCAGAGATTAGCTGTGCAATCTTGATTGTAGAAACTAGTCGGAGGACTCGGGATTTCTGAACAGGAGATTCTCTCGTGAGTTATATATTATTTCTGACATCCTCTTTTCCCTTTGGTTCTTTTCATTTGTTTCCATCAATCTAAAAAAATCATAATAGCACCAAATCATTCTTTGGGGCTTGCTAGGAACGTATTTGTTTTCATGAACAGATATGATAATGGATGCAACGAAGAGGTAAGTAAAGTTGAGGTTTTCTACAATTATAGAGAAAGGAAGGTATTATGCTAGAGGATGTAATTGTGAGGATTACGTAGTTAGTACTGAATTTCAGGTCATTTACACTCATCAGCACTACAACAAAACTAGCTTTTTGCGGATTTTTTTACCTATAGCGGCGTTTTTAAGCACCGCAAAAAACTCCTGCGGCGATATAACAAATGCCGCAAAAAGCGCCACTGAAAATAGCGCCGCTAAAGATCGCGGCATTTGGTAACAGAAAATGCCACAATAGATAACGATATATAGCGGCGTTTTTTCAACAAACGTCGCAATAGGTGTTTATATTTAGCAACGTTTGTCCTACAAATGCTGCAATAGGTATGGAGGTTTAGTGGCGTTTTTCCCACAAACGCCGCAATAGGTGTTGAGATTTAGCTGCGTTTTTCTAACAAACGACGCAATAGGTTGTGAGATTTAGCGGCGTTTTTCTGACAAACGCCGCAATAGGTTGTGACATTTAACACGTTTTTCTCAGAAACGTCGCAATAGGTTGTGACATTTAACGGCATTTTTCCCACAAACGCCGTAAAATGCGTATGTATATAGCGGCGTTTCCTTAAACGCCTCAAAAGGTTAAGATATTTTACGACATTTTTAATACAAACGCCGCTAAAGGTATGGTATATAGCTACGCTTTTAGGATAAAAATGCCGCAAAATATATGGTTTATAGCGGCGTTTTTTGTTACAAACGCCGCTAAAGAACACAGAATTTAAACAATTTAAATATTTTCTTCGATTACCCCAAATCTATTTTTTTCAACCTGTTCCATTATCCAACAAGCATTACATCAATAACATCAAACTCTATATCCATAACAAGCAACATCAAATCCAATATAATAAATAAAAGTTTTCATTAACGTAATATCAGTTTAGTTACGATTCAGTAAAATTAACAGACTGCTGATAACATAAATGACACTATGATGGTGGATGTTGAGGTTGCGCTTTCTCTAACATATGCATCATAGCATCGAGTCGTTTTTCAAATTCTTCACATCGTTGCTGATATGCTGCTTCTCTCTGTGTGCCGCTGCTTCTCTCTATGCTATTGTTGCTTCTCTCTCTGCTTCCGCTGCTACTCTCGCTACTTTCATTGCTGCTCTCTCTGCTTCCCTTGCTTTATTTTAGGCTTTCATGTTATCCATTTGTTGATCCATCTTAGCCAACTTTTGTTTTAAACGACTAACTTCTAATTGGGAAGATTGAGACTGTAATGACATGTACTGTGATGAACTGGATCCAAAATATTTGGTGGGAGTAACAAATAATCCTTGACAGCGTACCCGACCATATCTTTCAGGACCCAAAACATCATTAATAACTTGGTTTTCAATGTCATCATCATTAACAAGACCTTGACTCGAAGCAGTAGCATGATACTTCGCCATTTTCTCCCTCAATTTTTCCTAATAATAAAGTGAATAATTGATTCAAATAAAAAAGTCATGGTACAGATATAAATAAAGTTAGGTAAATTTAAAACCTCTATCCAATAAACGTACCATAATTTATGTAGCTTCAGCAGTCATAGGAGTGTCATCCTTCTTTGTATGTGTCATGTCGATGAGTTGGATTCAGCCAACTTTAGAACCAGATGTATTTTCCTACAATGTACCATAATATAATTACTTGAGTTAGTATGTACATGAATACAAATAACTATGTGAATAATCTATAATACCTCCTCATTAGCTATACAAGCAAAGCTCTTCGATCCAGCCGTGTGCGTAAACTTTTGTTGTTATCTGCTAGCAACACCAACATGCTCTCAGTCCTACAATGTCAAACAACCACTTTTAATGATGATTTATAATTCGTTAAAATTATTTTTGAAAAATACATCATACCTGTCCTTTTTGTGAACTCCAAAATCTGACTGCATCTTCACATACCATTGGTACCTGAGCATTCTAGGTGGGACTGTTTGTAGCTTCTCTTCAAGGTTGAGATCATTCTTGAAGTATTTCTTCTTTAATGAGCTCTTGTGGTCTCTTCATCTCTTCCCTAACGCTTGCTTCACATAATCGTCAGAGACCTCTAAAGAAAATTTCTCCTATATAGCAAATAAGTGTGCAACATAAGTATAAATTAGTATTGAATTGTTATAGAGTATCTATTATAATGACATTATTACCTTAATAAAATCTAACGCCTGATTTTTATTACTATTAGGCATTTCGTGCCATGACTCTTAATTTATCTGTAACAGATATGAATTATGTACAACTATGCCTAAGTAACCAGATAGAAGACGTTCTTCTGGGCCAATAGGTTGACCGTCATCGTTTCTTGAAACTTTGACACGGTGCCCAGGAGGAGGTTGGTATAATTCCTTCAACGTTGTACGTCCTCTACTCTTGCGCGTTCCAGCATTTTCAACTATATAAGAAATTATTAAATGTAAGTTTTGAAAATTACTTATATTTCTACATCTTCTTCAACAGTTTCAGGAACTTCGGAACACTCAACTGCATTCGATTCCTCGTTATTTCTTTGTTCATGGTCTTCAGAACCTCGAATAATCCGCAAACCACTTATATTTCTCCTCGGCATGATATCTATAATAAACAAACATTTGTAATAAGAAAACGAATTAAATAATTCATATATTGAAAGACAACATGTTAAAACTTATAACATTATAAATAAATAAATAAAGTACAACATTCTTATGTAATGTCAGTTGTCATAAATATCTCCATCAACGTCCTCCCGAACCCATTGAAATTGTGTTGTATTAGTGATAGTTTCATCTAAGTTTTGTGGTAGTAGAGGTAAACATTCCGATCTTGTTTCAATGTCATTTATACTTCCATCCCCGATGTCTATCAAGACTCTGGGAGTATTACAGAGCACAACATACCAACTGTCATCCATTGGATCGTGACAGTAAAATACTTGTTTCACTTGAGAAGAAAATACATATGGTTCATCCATCAATCGTTGATCAGTGTGAATTAATCGAGAGAAATTCACCATTGTAAACCTGAATTTATCTCTTTTTATGCACCTGTTTACATCAACCCAGTCACACCGAAACAACACAATCTTTCGTTTTCCATAATAATCTAACTCTGTAATATCCGTATGATTTCCATAATAATCTACCTCTCCCTCCTACGGATTATTGTCCCTGACACTAGCATAACTTGTAGTTGATGAAGTAACTACGACTCCACAATTTTGTGTCCTCCTTAATCTTTCATGAGATTTCGTGTGGAACCTGAACCCATTAATAAGAAAGACATTATATCTTTTAATTATTCTATTCGGACCTTGAGAAAGCCATTTAACATCTTCAGTAGTTTATCTTCCACTCCAAATGTATTACACATGAATGGTGAATTAATTTGGTTTGATTTCGATATAAAAAGCAAGACATGTATTATTTATAAGTATGTGGAATGATTTAGTTGCTTACCGTCTGGCCTAACCATTTATGAAAAGTTTCTATGAATAACTTATGTATCTCTCGCTAATGTAATCTTCGGGAGCGTGCAAGAGATCTCAAGACTTCTTTAAACTCACTATAAAGTATATTATGTCGTTAAAAATGATAAATATAAAAGATTAAGAGATTTCATTAGGATTGGGTCCGAAAGACTTACGTGTGAAAGGGATCTATTGAATCGTGATGGTAAAGAACATATTGGTGTGCTTATACCCAAGACGTGTCATCTAAGTGTGCAATTTCAACTTTCCCTAATGGTTGACCATAACTTCTAAACAAATAATGTTGAGGTAAGTCATTAGTGCTTAACACATCATTTCGATTTGGTCTATTCCATCTTGTTTCAACATCTTCCAAATATATAGAGCAAAATGTCATACATTCCTCTACCAAATACCCTCCAGCAATTGATCCTTCCGGATAACGCTTATTACGACAGTAAGACTTCAACTTGCCCAAGAACCTAAACACAAAACAACATAAAATACATTTTATTAAAAGGTATAATCAGTAGTAATTTGAAACGTATCATTCAATTAACACCTCTCTATAGGGTACATTCATCGATAGAAAACTGGTCCACCAAATCTTGCTTTGTGAGGAAGATGAATTAGCAGATGCACCATAATTGTGAAGAATAAAGGCAGAAATATCCTCTTCAAGTTGCATAAATTCAAGGTGACTCGATCTTGTAGTTTATCAAGTTCTTCAACCATCAGAACTTTCCCACAGATGGCTTTCATTATATTAGAAAGTTCAATGATATAAGATGTCACCTTACTCGACATGCAAACGCGAACAGCTACTGGCAGTAAATCTTGCATTAATATGTGATAATCATGTGACTTTAAACCATAAAGTCTTCGATCTTTAACACTGACACATCGAAAAATGTTTAATGCATACCCATCTGGGACCTTTATAACCTTCAAAACCGTGCAAAATACTTCTTTTTCTTTCTTCGAAAGAGAAAAAATAGAAGGCGACAAGAAATATTTTCCATTCAGATGTAATTGCGGATGAAGATCATGTCGAATTCCCATGTCTACTAAGTCAAGTCGACTCTTAAGATTATCTTTAGATTTTCTGCCATCATTCAGAATGGTCCCGATAATATTCTCACAAACATTCTTCTCAATATGCATTACATCAAGATTATGTCTCAAAATCTGCTTTTTCCAATAAGGCAACTCGAAGAATATACTCCTCTTTTTCCACAAGTCTACCTCATTTGGATCATCCTCTTCATCAAACTCATCATCACTCTGTTGGTCAACTTCAAGCTCTTC